TCCGAGCTGGAAAAAAGAGGCAGCCGTCTTTATGCAAATGAATCGGGGGGGATTTAAATCCCCGCTTCATTTGCAATTGCGATGTGTCTAATTTGCATCCCTTTTACGGAAAACGGATGCAGTCTAGACACAGCCCAGGTGTGTCACCATTCATTGCAAGGGCCTAATACAACTTTTCCTTCACAGAAGTGTATCCTCAATGATAGACATGATTCCTTCACTCTCTAACTAGCTGAACACCTTTTGTCTTTTAATTTGTATTTTTCAGACAGTGCAATCTGTAATTGTGAAAACTAATTTGCAAAAAATATATAACCATGCATGCTATTTCCTCTCTTCATCCTTCCCACCTCTGCCTTCCTTATTTCATGGTGGAAGTAGTGTTTAACATACTGTGTAAGTTTATTCTTTGGTTTTTTAATGTCAACCAGGTACAGGTTGAACCTCTCTAATCCAGAACTCTCTGGTCCAGAAACATCCATCATCCAGAATGATTTTAGTTGCTGTGTATCCACTTATTGTGAGTGTGGCCAAGTTTCTTGCAGTCCCATAAAGTTTGTTTATAGCCACCAGTCCTAGCTCTCAGTTTTCTGTGTTGTTATTTAGCTCTAATTTACCTCTAAATGTCCTCTAGCAGCCCAGTAAGCAGTGGAAGTGTTGATGATGCTACTAGACAATATTGACCTCCTGTGGACTGGAAAACTGTCTTGTTCAGAATGGGTCAGGTCCCTAGTATGCCAGACTAAAGAATTTCAACCTGTAGTAAGTCTGGTGGTAGAAGGACAGCTTTGTAGAGGTTGTGATGATGCAAGACAGCAAGTGTAATTAAACTTTTAAAAGCACCTATGTAGTTGTAATGTTAGTATTGGAACCAGCTATTGCCAAATGTTCTGACTGTGTGGAATCTGGTTGACAATATTTTAAAGTGCTTGTTCTTCCATGGCATCATGGGCCAATGGATAGGGTACATAATGGCATGTCTTGTCTTGTCTTGTCTGTTAAAACCTTACACTCTATAGCTATTTTGTCAATATTTCTTATTTTTTGAAGTATTTTTTTCTTCAAGGAAACTAACATACACAAGCAATCCTGAGGTAAAAGCTCAGTGAAGAAGAGGCATTTTTTCCCCTAGGGCTGTGTCTAGCCTACATGGCTCCATCGACGGAGCCATGTAGATTAGGGTTATAGGCAAAGGGAAATGAAGCGGCGATTTAAATAATCACTGCTTCATTTAAATTTACATGGCTGCCGCGCTGCTCTAGTGAAGATATCAGGGAGCAAACAGAGTAAGAGTTCAAAGCTGTTCCCTCTCCTTCAAAAATGAATGTTTAATTCACGAAAACATACTTGGCAAAGCAGTGGTGGAACAGAGAATAGCAAACAGATTTTGTGATACTTAGGTTTTATCTTTAGATAGATAGATAGATAGATAGATAGATAGATAGATAGATAGATAGATAGATAAACTAACATGTATCAGACATACAGAGGTTAAAAACGGAGTGAAGATAAAAATCTTATCTACAAGATAAGGCATTATAGCTGTATTATGAACTAAGCTAGGCCAAGTCAGCATGATACATCTGGTTAAGATTGACCTAGTTTATCACATAGGGTACGTCTAAACTACATGCCTCCGTCGACGGAGGCATGTAGTTTAGACGTACCCTATGTGATAAACTAGGTCAATCTTAACCAGATGTATCATGCTGACTTGGCCTAGCTTAGTTCATAATACAGCTATAATGCCTTATCTTGTAGATAAGATTTTTATCTTCACTGCGTTTTTAACCTCTGTATATCTGATACATGTTAGTTTATCTATCTATCTATCTATCTATCTATCTATCTATCTATCTATCTATCTATCTAAAGATAAAACCTAAGTATCACAAAATCTGTTTGCTATTCTCTGTTCCACCACTGCTTTGCCAAGTATGTTTTCGTGAATTAAACATTCATTTTTGAAGGAGAGGGAACAGCTTTGAACTCTTACTCTGTTTGCTCCCTGATATCTTCACTAGAGAGTTGATTGACCTGACAATGTCTGTCAAACTAACATAAATCCAGAAAAACTGTATTGACCTGTGGTTACCCTGTTGCCTGTACTTCTGTGGAAGGAAACTTTGGACTTAGGAGCAAAGTTTACACTAGGAGTTTGTGTTATTTTAAAGAGCCACATGTGACCGGATATTTCCTTATTTAGAGCCTAGAGCTTTCCCCTGATCTATCAGCCTTTTGAAACTGAGGAGGACCTGCCACCTAGCTTGTTTGAGAAGGATTGTATTGACAGCAACTAATTACGGCTCATCTCTTGATGGAAAGGAGTTAAGCATTTGTGATGATTCTCTCCATGTTGTTGGTTTTTCTCTCCCTCATTCACAGTGCTTTGCAGCTACTGGGTAAGTCCCCGTTTTGTCTCTGCTATAAAACTGGATATGAAAGTGCTTCTCTTTTTCATGCTTTTCCTTTGGTGATCTGGTGCAATCTGATTATTTCACATTTCTTATTAATTCTAATTTGAGAGGTTTAAAGAAATGGGATAAAGATCCTTATCCAGATGTGTTAGACTTTTGTCAGAAGGTGTAAATCTACAGAAGCAGCAGAAGAGTAGAAGTAACAGCAGATGGAGACGCACTTACATATAGTATTAAAGATGCTTGTGTGAGCTGATTTAATCAGCAATATATGTCTATTTTAAAAAGCAAACTACTGTATTGGAGCTGTACCTTCTTCCACTTTTGATGAGTTTGTAAAAGATATGATGTGACTAGCAAATGAATAATTGGTTATGGAGTGGAGATAAGAGATTGTTGTTAGAAATATATAAGCTTGCATGTAAGAAAGTATCGAGGATGTAGGTAAAAACTGGTTGTTAGCATTGGCACTGGGCAGAGTTATGTTGTTTGTGGCTATTTAACTCAGAATAAGAACTGCTGGACTAGATCATGGTAGAGCGTACATTGATGGGAACAGGATGCAACCAGCCTTCCCCTGTCTTTCAGTGAAGGGATCACACAACACAACTGCTAAGTAAAGCTACCGCTCCCTGTTAGCACTGCAAAAAACATTAGCCATCCAAAAGAGGACTTAAGTGAGCATAGAGCCTGGTCTTCACTCTGTTCTTCATCAGCCACTAGAATCCATTTGAAAGGATTGCACAGCTGCAGCTGAAGTGGGAACTTTACTGGTATCCCACAAGGAACTATTCTTATTATACTTATTATTAGTACTAACTTGCACTTAGAGGCACTAACTGGCACTGGGGCCACTAGGTTAAGCACTTCTTTATAAATACAGTAGCAGCTGTACTCAGCATTGTTCAGGACTTTAACTGAAGTAATTTTTTTAAATACATGAAAAATTTACATGCTTGATTTCAATTAGAAAAATTAGAGAAAATGAGTGTTCAGGGGATGAAAATGGTGGGCAGGCTGAGAATTGAACCCAAGTCCTCTGATATCAGTCCAGTGCCTGAGTAACAATATTACCTTTTTTCATGGTGGCTCAGGGAGTTCCAGATTCTTCTCCAACATGTCTTCAACTCTGTGTATCACAAAGCTGTGATGTTACAACACAAATTCTAGCCCTTAGGAGTGGGCATCACAGGGAGCTATGAGTGCTCTGGTTCTCTGAAAATGAGTCTAATTCTATTTAGATACTTAAATATTGATTTAGAACCTTAAATTTGGACATCCAAGTTTGGTATATTTAGAGATAGTATGGAATAATTCCCTTTCCATCTTAAACTGTACCTAATAAAGTATCTGGAATCAATACATGTCTATAAAATTCTGTTTGATAAGATATTCTGTAATCCTACTAAAACTGTAACATGGGCTGGAGACAACTTCACTGCGCCCTGGGCAATACGGGGAGGGGATTGGCTCTGGGCCTCCTGGAATGAGCAGGAGCTTCGGTGCAAGGAGTGTGGCCTCAGGTGGAAGAGATGGAGCTAGAGGCTAGCCTCCCCTAGCCAGCCCTCAATTCTACCCTGGTCTCCAGCAACGATTTCAAGGGCCTGGAGCTCCATCAACAATTTCAAAGGCTGCTGCCACAAAAGAGGCAGCTAGGAGCCCTGGGTGCTTTTAAATCTCTGGGCCCTGGGACAATTGTTGGCAGCCCTGATTGCAGCATGGAATTGTGGGTAATGGATTGTTTAAAATTACTGATCAGAAGCAGAACTGAAGCAGTCCTGGGCCTACATATGAAAGAGGTTTTTTTAACTTAAAAATTCCATAAAAGATAGAGTTGCTTGACTTAGAAAAGTTAATGTAGCAAGATATATGTAATATTGCACTAGGTGAGTCGGCTATTGGCCCCTTTGCAGCCTCCATCATTAATTTTTTATTATCTTTTAACCATTTAATCCAGTTTTTCTTCTTAGTATCCACTGGGACAAATGAGGCAAGCGTCTCCTGGCACTCACCACCCATGCATATACATTGACAACAAATGAAAAAGAAGGATTCCTGTTTATGTGAACTGTGATGTTGCTTAACCATACTTTTACATACTGTGTTTTGTTATTGTAGTTGGAATTTGCCTATCATCTGACTGTATTTGTTACATTTAGGGAGGTCAAGAGAGTAAAAAATTAATTGCAATTAATTACACTGTTAATAATAGAATATCATTTACTTCAATAATTTTTGATATTTTCTACATTTTCAAATATATTGATTTTAATTACAACACAGAGTAAAAGAGTACATTGCACATTTTATTTTTGGTTACAAATATTTACACTATAAAAAATAAAATAAATAGAATTTTTCAGTTTACCTAATACAAAAACTGTAGTGAATTCTCTTTATCATGAAAGTTTAACTTACAAAAGAAGAAAAATGTATTAAAAGTAGCTGCTTTCAAAAATAAAACAATCGAAAACTTTAGAGTCACCAAGTCTACTCAGTCCTGTTTTCTGTTCAGTCAATTGCTCAAAGAAACATGTTTGTTTATATTTGAAGAAGATAATATGCCCACTTCTTATTTACCATGTCACCTGAAAGTAAAAACAGGCATTTGTGTGGCAGACAACCTCCAAAGATTCACATGTCCCTTCAGTCTTCAACCATCATTCCAGAAGATTCCATGCTGATGACAGGTTCTGTTTGATAATCATCCAAAGCAGGGAGGACTGATACATGTTCATATTCATCATCTGAGTCAAAGGACACCAGCAGAAGGTTGATTTTTTTCAATAGTTCTGGTTCTGTTGTTTCCACGTTAGGGTGTTACTCTTTTAAGACCTCTTAAAGCATGCTCCACGCCTCATGCCTCTCAGATTTTGGAAGACATTTGAGATTCTTAAATCTTTGGTCCAGTACTTTAGTTATCCTTAGATATCTCACATTGGTACCTCCTTTGCATTTTGTCAAATCTTCAGGGAAAGTATTCTTAAAGTGAAAATGTGCTAGGTCATCATCTGAATCTGCTATAACATGAAATATATGGCAGATTGCAGGTAAAACAGAGCAGGAGACATATAATTCCCCTCCAAGCAGTTCAGTCACAAATTTAATTAATACATTATTTTTAATGGGTGTCATCAGCATGGAAGCATCTTCTGGAATGGTGAACAAAGCATGAAGGGAAATACAAATGTTAAGTATATCTGGCATGTCAAATGCATGACGTTGCAAGGTCATACAAAAGTCCCCTGTGAATGCTTGTTCTCACTTTTTGTTGACATTGTAAATAAGAAGTGGGCAGTGGAACAAGAAGTAGGACTGAGTGGTCTTCTAGGTGCTAAAGTTTTCCTTTGTGTGTTTTCTTTATGTAACAAAAAATCTGTATTTGTAAGTTACACTTTCATGATAAAAAGACTGCACTACAGTACTTCGAGTGAACTGAAAAATATTGTTTCATATATGGTTTCTTTTTTACTGTACAAATTTTTGTTATAAAAATGTGTTTCATATATGGTTTCTTTTGTCTATCATTTTTACTGTACAAATTTTTGTTATAAAAATAATAACATAAAGTGAGTAATGTATACTTTTCATTCTATGTTGTAATTGAAATCAATATATTTGAAAAGGTAGAAAAATATCCAAAACCAGTACATTTCAATTGGTATTCTATTGTTTAACAATGCGATTCAAATGCAATACATTTATTATTTTTTTAAATCAAGCCTGATTTATTTGAGTTAATCACATGAGTTAACTGTGATCAGTCAACAGTACTTGTATTAGATTCTTACTTTGTGCTAGTGATAGGGCGTAGGAAATTGTGCAGGATAACATGCTACTGTTTTTGTATACGATGTAGTTGTAGACATATCAATGTCAGGATATTAGAGAGACAAGGTGGGTGAGATCATGTCTTTTGTTGGACCCTTTCTACTGGTGGGAGATACAGGCTTTTGATCCATACCAAGGTCTTCTTTAGGTCTGGAAAAAGTACAGCAAAATGCAAAGGGGAACAGATTGTTCAGCATAAGTAATTAGCACATATGGTAAGGAACCATTCAAGGCAGAATTAATGCCTCTGCAGTCATAGGACAAAAAGAGAGGGTTGGTGAGTTACAGATTGTTGTAATCAGCCCTAAATCCAATTGCTCTGTTCAGACTACGATTGCTAGTGTCTTGCAGAGTTATGAATTTAAGGTCCCAGTTGTTTTTAAGAAGTTCTGTACAGGTTTCCTTTGAAGATGAGGCCTGATAAATCAGACATAGAGTGATTGCTTTGTGAAAAGTGTTCACCCTAGGTGATAGGATAGTTTTGTTTTTTATCATTTTCCTGGGTGAGTTCATTCAAGAGTGCCATAATTGTCTGGTTTCACCCACCTACTTGTTATCGGGGCATTTAGTGCATCCAGAAATGTTTCTTGGAAGAAGTGTGTTTTGGAACAAAGTTAAAGGAAAAAAGAAAGTTTCATTACAATTATTGCCTTGTTAAAATGTGATATAAAATAAATGGTTACATTTCTTGTTAGCTTGATTGTCTCCCTGTGTTATATATTCACAATTCACATCTGATTTATTTTTTTGACTACTTACTTACTAGGGCACCTGAAGATACTGCCTCCATCACTATGTGGGACTTGAACCCACAACCATTTGCCATGGATAAAAGGCTCATCCTTGATTCAACAAAACAACACCTCACACCTACTTACTGCTTTCCCCTCACACTTTCTTGAACCCAAACACATTAAGTATTCACATTTTGTTTTGCAGATAATGAAATATTTTTAATCTATAATGAAGACCTCAAGCACTGTGTGCAAGCTCACAGTTCTAGATCTGTCACAACTGCCTCTTGCAACCAGGACACTGAGTCACAAAAATTCAGGTGGGTGTCTGACCACCAGCTGATGAGTGTAGCATTACGGCTATGTTTGGGAGTGCCTTCAAAGAAAGACCAGGTGATGGTTACTCTGTATCCTTGTAATAAAACAAGTGAACTCCAACAGTGGGAATGCAGAAATGAGACCCTTCTTGCAATCAAAGGAGAAGATTTTTTTTTTAACTCTGGCAGCAGAGAAAAAGGAAATATGATGCTACAGAAGGAACCAAGTGTGACGAGTAAGTGGAAGATCTATGGAGCCATGGATGATTTGTGTTCTCAGGGCTATGAAGGTAAAGTCTGAAATTTAAACTCTTTATTCTCCTGAACTAACTTTTGAGTCTGTGTCAGAGTACCTAGATTTATATTCATCTAATCATAGAATGAGCCATGCTCAGTTCTCGTATGAGACTCTGGTAGAGCATGACTTGCCTTATGCATTCCAGCCCTGCAAACACACTCTTCACTTTACACACACGTCATATCCTGATATGATTTGTTCAGCACCTTCAAGGAAACAAACCTCTAATACTTGTTGTCTTATTTGTAAAATTAAAATGGAATTATATTATTTCTAATTATTAAATGTAACTATATCTATTCAACTGCTATGTATATTAGGTTGGAAATTAGGAAAAACCTCCTAATAGTCTGGGTGGCTAAACACTAAAATAAATTGCCTAGGGAGGTTGTGGAATCTCAATCACTGGAGATATTTAAGAGCAGATTGGATAGGCATCTATAAGGGATAATATAGATGGTGCTTGGTCCTGCCGTGAGGTCAGGGGACTGGGCTTGATGATCTCTCGAGATCCCTTCTTGTTCTAGTATTCTATTATTCTATATGTGCAGATAAATTACATTGTACTTACTGGATAAGAGGCACAAATTTATCTCTACTTACTTCACACTTCAACTTTAATTAATTGGTTAATTAAATCATTAATATCAGAAAAGAAAATCAATTCTATATACAACTCCATATGCTGTAAGTGACTTTAGAAGATGAAAAGTCCTTTTAATGGTGAATTGAAAATATATTTAGTTAAAATGTACAATTACTAAAAATGAAGCTATAAGAGGAATGTAATTTCTTCCATTCAAAAAACTTATCATGGAATTAATTTAGTGAAAATAACTAGCTGCATGCACCAGCTCATGAGCATGAATTCTGAAGGTTCAGTTTCCAGCTGTAACTGCTAACTATAACGCTGAACAAATGTATAAGGGCAGGTCTATACTATGTTGATCTAAGCTATGCAATTTGAGTCACATTAAAAGTGTACCTCAAGTCAACCTACCTTAGATTTACTTTCTGTATAATCCACACCATGCTAGGTCAACAGGGAAAACTCTCCTATCAACTCATTCACCTCATTTTGTTCTACTGGAGCACTGGTGTTGACATTCAAGCAATTGGCAGTTGAATGACTGGGTCTTCACTAGACCCACTAAATCTATCCCTGGTAGATTGATCACCACAGCATCAATCCACTCAGTAGTGGAGATGAGCCTTAAGTCACACATGCTCCAGTGCTTCCTTTTCTATCTTTTGCTGCTCTGAGAGTACCAGTGGCCCACCAGTGACCCTTCATGCAGTGCCCTCCTGCATGTGATACAGAGGATTAGAGAGGAGGGTACCTCAAATGTCCTTAGTGTTATACTACACTATTTCTATACTGAATTTTATCATTTTGTATCCTCAGATTTATTTACACTGCTAGGAAATGCCAATGGGGCACCCTGCGTCTTCCCTTTCAAGCTGAGTGGCAAATGGTATGCTGAGTGTACAGATGCTGCAAGGTCAGATGGCTGGCTTTGGTGTGCAACAACAGCAGACTTTGACACAGACCAATTGTATGGATTTTGCCCATTAAAATGTAAGTTCTGAATGTTGACATAATAGCATGTAGTTAGGAACTAGACTGTTGAAATATCACTTACGGTGTTGTGTTCATAAGGCAAAAACTTGAACTGATATATTTTACCTCATCTTCTGTCTTCACCTTATAAAAGTTTTTACAGGGCAATATCTAAATTTTAATACAGTATAAGGCAGCCAAAAAATGTTACCCACGTACATCTATATTAATAGAAAAGAAGCTCTGGCGATTTCCATATGGCAACCAGTGCCTTGGTCAGTGTTATCAAATGCAGAGCTTTGATCGCCGTCTCTAGGCAATTCTAATCCTACTACAATCAGTGTAAAGCCACTAGTGAATCAGGGAGCCATTATCAGCTGCCTAAAGAGCTACTTGCCTCTGCACCTCTCACAGTCCCTTATGTTGGAGTTACAGGTAGTGTGATGTAGGATTTGGCTGTGCTAGGTATCTATAGTCTTCTGTGTTGTGCAAAGAGAAGAGAATGGAACCACAGAATCTGTCCCAGTGTGAGTAAGGGTGTAGAATCAGGCCATTAAAATCTTCCTAGAGAGTCGCATATGCAGTTAAGTATCAGAGGGGTAGCCATGTTGGTCTGAATCTGCAAAAGCGGCAAGGAGTCCTGCGGCACCTTATAGACTAACTGAAGTGTAGGAGCATAAGCTTTCGTGGCAAAGACCCACTTCATCAGATGCATGCATGAAAGCTTATGCTCCTACACTTCAGTTAGTCTATAAGGTGCCACAGGACTCCTCGCCGCATATGCAGTTAGTAGCCATAAGTGGGGTCAGGAAGGAATTTTCCCACAGGTCAGATTGTGACCAGTGGATACAGGTCATACACCAGATTATCTGAGTATATCTCACTTAATCATTCCCATTACACAGGTCTCTAGCACTCAGTCCTCTTTATTCTCAGCCTGTAGTGCATAATAGACTAGTCTCCTATGAAATGCAATACTTTGATTTAATATCAGTTAATTTAATATCAGCTTAGTGTGTGGGTGCTGCATGCTGTGATTTACAGGAGGTCAGACTAGATGATTTAATGGTCCCTTCTGGACTTAAAATCGATGACTCTGAGACCCTATTAAAATGGATACACTTGAGGTCAGAGTGAAGGTCTCACTAAGAAGTTTAACTCTCAATTTCCAGAAGATAATATAAATGCAATCTCAACCTTAATATTGCATCAGTGTTGCCATTTGCTGTTAATTTCCTTGCTTTTTCAGAAAAGAAGTCAAAGGCCAGATTCACCAGTGTGCTCTGACTGTATCGTGCCTCTCCTGTGATGAAAAGCAACTGTGAATCTGCCTTAATTAGCCAATGAAGATGTTTGTAATTGTAGTTCAGCCAGCCATAGCGCTGAAACTAGAGATAAAACTAGAAATATATAACTCATTCCTGAGGGCACAATGACTGTTGAGTCAACTCTAATCTTTCCTAGACTTGTCTGATGCCATCTCCCAAATACAGTGTCATGGGAAGGTGCACAGAGATACCCCAGAGATGTGCTTTATAATTGTGTAGATAAGAACATAAGAATGTCCATTCTGGGTCAGACCAATAGTCCATCCAGGCCAGAATCCTGTCTGCCAACAGTGGCCAATACTAAATGCCCCAGAGGAAGGGAACACAACAGGTAATCCTCACGTAATCTCTCCCCTGTCACCCACTCCAGAGAAACAGAGGTTAGGAACACCATTCCTACCCATCCTGGCTAATAGCCATCGATGAACCTAACCTCCGTGAATCTATCTAGCTCTTTCTTGAACCCTGTTAAAGTCCTAACCTTCACTACATTCTGTGGCAAGGAGTTCCACATGTTGACTGTGTGCTGAGTGAAAAAAAAACTTTCTTTTGTTTGTTTTAAACCTGCTGCCTATTAATTTTATTTGGTGACCCCTAGTTCTTATATTGTGGGAATAAATAAATAACTTTTCCTTATTCATTTTTTCCGTACCAGTCATGGTTTTAAAGACCTCTATCATATCCCCCCTTACTCTCTTATTTTCTAAGATGAAAAGTCCAAGTCTTTTTAATCTCTCTTCAGACAAGACCTGTTCCAAACCCCTAATAATTTTTGTTGCTCTTTTCTGAACCTTTTCTAATGCCAATATGTGTTTTTTGAGATGAGGCAACCACATCTGTACGAGTATTCAAGATGTGGGCATACTATTGTTTTATATAGAGGCAATAAGATATTTTCTGTTTTATTCTCTATTCCTTTTTTAATGATCCTTTGGACATAAACCACAAATTCTCACCTACCCCTCTACTGCTTACTATGGAAACGTGCGAAATCTGTTATGATTGCGGCCTTCTAGTATCATGGAGAAAAAAAACAGGATTTTCCACCATTGCTTTTCTTTCTTTCTTTCTTTCTTTCTTTCTTTCTTTCTTTCTTTCTTTCTTTCTTTCTTTCTTTCTTTCTTTCTTTCTTTCTTTCTTTCTTTCTTTCTTGATGTTTGAGCTATGAAACTGACTAGAATCCCGTTTTTAAGCAAAGGAATCTGTTTTCTCTGTTGGAACAGTGTGGTTTTACAAGTACACTTAGTTAAATGGTATTATTTATTTTATATGCATTGAGTAAAATGAACAGCAACATTGTATCTCATTTCTCTCATGCAGCTAATGAAACTAGCAGATTCTGGACTACGGACCCCTTGACAGGCATTCACTACCAGATAAACTTCCAATCAGCTCTAACATGGCACCAAGCACGGAAGAGCTGCCAGCAACAGAACGCAGAATTATTAAGTATTACAGAGATACATGAGCAAATGTATCTAAGAGGTAATTTATGAAAGCAATCCTGAGTGAAAACATGAGTTTATTTTTTTTTATGTTGGATCACTAACTTTTGAGTGGTTTAATCATACATAGTAATTATTGAGATCATTGACTATTGGCATTGTGCTAATCCATAGGAAAAAAACCTAAACACAGAAACTTGTTTTTTAAACAAAATGTGGAACTTCCATACAAATAACTTATGAAGAATTGATTCTGTTCCCTTTAAAGTAAATAGAAAATTGACTTAGGTGGGAGTTGGATTAACCTCAAAGGAAAGTATTTTACGAAAATGTCTTTAGCATGATAACACAGAAGGAAGACCTTTTCGGTGCATAGTACAATGGATACTGACCTTATAGTATAGGAAAATCAACTGTTCCGCCTATAGAAATTCCAACACAGACAACATTGTAAGAATTTCCTTTTTTATAAAGCACGTATCTGGATTAACCCTGTTTGTAACTCACATAAATATTGTGCACATATGTAGCGGTTCTGTCCGAATGAGCCTTTGAATCATTTTGTATCAAAACTTAATGTGAATTTAGTGATACAAATATTATTTTCAGTACTTAATACCTTTCATTTCCAAAGTTTATTGCAGACATTAAATACTGTGGTTAATGACAGCAACTTCAAATAAAATAATGTGTAACTTGTATTTTTGTCATCCTCTGATCATCTATGACCAAAAACTAAATTGTTACTAAATTAACACTTATATTTTAAATAGTATATTTTAATAACAATTTAGTGTATTTTCTACGAGTAAACACAAAAAACATGTTGGCTTTCAGAAACCACTAAGCAGAAAGCTAATAGCCTCTTGGAAATATTGCGGCTGTAAAATATTTTACAACAGAGGTATGATAATTATTTTCATTTCTTTGGTTTCTTAGATTTGATTGGCAAGATGAGGTCTGCTCTCTGGATTGGACTTAACAGTCTGAATTTCAACAGTGGATGGCAATGGAGTGGTGGCAGCCCTTTTAGATATCTAAACTGGGCTCCAGGTAGGGGTAATTTTTAGAATGTTTTTTAGGATGAAAATTTGCAGCTAGAATGTTGAATGGGATCTCAGTCACAATCTTGCACTATCCCACAAAAATGCACTAAGCTATATGATTAGAACTTTGCTGAAGCTGAGTTCCACTTTAAAGATCCAACAGTAGAGGGGGGTTTAAAATACATAATCTGAAAATAATAAAACAGAAATAATCATCTTAAAGAAACCAAGTTCATTAGGAAAGAAAGGAAAAATCCTGTATCTCAAGTAAAATGTAATAAAATCCTATTTAGCTTCTGTCCAGGTAACAGCTGGATTATATAAGGCATTTATTTTATGTTAATTGAGACAGCTGTCATTCCCTTTGTGTCCCCTTAAAACTCACAATCTCAGTTTGATTGTGTCTCCAAGTGTTAGCTCTCAGTGGCAGAGGGCTTCATTTTTAACACAATTTCTTTTGCTTCAATATAAAAAAAACCAATGAAATGCAGAGTCCCTAATCAATACATGTGAAAAGTATAAATATTCTAGCTGAAGTTACCCGGTGTTACTTGGGAAACAGGAGGAACAAAATGTAGAAAAACAGTAGTCCATTATCTTTTTTTGAATGGTAGAAAAGTTGCACTGATTTCTATAGAGATTACAATATAGTTCTGCATCATTCCTAGGGTGGGGGGGAGGTTACATGCGGGAAGGGCACCCTAGCTTGCTCTCGGGACTGCAGGTGCCACGGAGGACAGAGCAGGTGCATCGGGGCACTGTGTGCTGGCACGGGGACAGGGGGAAAGGGTTGCTTATGTAACCTCGTGGGCGGGAGGGGGTAAGTCCTGGATGGTGCTGGGGGCTGCAGGCAGCGGGCACGGGACCTAGTGTGGGAGGGGTGGCTGAAACAAAACCAATTCTTTCAGCCTTCCTTCATAGGTCATGTTCTCTAGACCTTTAATCATTCTCGTTGCTCTTCTCTGGACCCTCTCCAATTTCTCCACATCTTTCTTGAAATGCGGTGCCCAGAACTGGACACAATACTCCAACTGAGGCCTAACTAGGGCATAATAGAGCTGGAGAATGACTTCTCATGTCTTGCTCACAACACACCTGTTAATGCATCCCAGAATCATGTTTGCTTTTTTTGCAACAGCATCACACTGTTGACTCATATTCATCTTGTGGTCCACTATAACCCCTAGATCCCTTTCTGCCATATTCCTTCCTAGACAGTCACTTCTCATTCTGTATGTGTGAAACTGATTGTTCCTTCCTAAGTGGAGCACTTTGCATTTGTCTTTATTAAACTTCATCCTGTTTACCTCAGACCATTTCTCTAATTTGTCCAGATCATTTTGAATTATGACCCTATCCTCCAGAGCAGTTGCAACCCCTCCCAGCTTGGTATCATCTGCAAACTTAATAAGCTTACCTTCTATGCCAATATCTAAATCATTGATGAAGATATTGAACAGAGCTGGACCCAAAACAGACCCCTGCGGAAACCCACTAGTTATACCTTTCCAGCAGGATTGTGAACCTTAAAACCTTCTCCTGGATGAAAGGGTATTCCATGCAAAGTTTGGTTGTGGTAGCTCTTATAGTGTCCAAGTTATTAGCAAACAAACTTACAAACGTTCTACTTTATATATTAGATTGTTCCGTTACCTAATGGCATGAGAATTTGCACTGCCAATAAGGAAATTTACTGGTTTTGAATTCATTTATTGAAGGAAGCCCTTCTCTGGAGTCTGAGAAAATCTGTGCAGTACTAAATCCTAGAAGAGATGCTAAATGGGAAAACCGTGAATGTGATCAGAAAGTTGGCTATATTTGTAAAAAGGAAAACTCCACTTTGAATTCTTCCATTCTTCCTTCAGGTTGGTCAGTCAATAAAAATTAGCATTAAAGCTTTTTCTTTAAATCATATGGATTTAGTCTGCAAAGATGTACAATAGAAAAGCATTTTTATTTATATGAAATTGCAAACTCGTTTCATCCAAAAATAATCCTTTTTAAAACACACACAAAATCACTGTTCCATTTTGTTTCCATTTTCCAGTGACACAGAACTAACCATTCCCCCCATTTCCCTGTTTTAGATGCTCTAAGAAGAATACTGTTATTTCATTTATCTAAAGTAGGATGACTAAACTTTGACTACTATTCTAGAACTCAAAGCATGCCTAAGTTTTTGGGTTTTTTTAAATTTATAAAACCATAGGTGACCATAAAAACCATGGACATCCAGATGTAATTTAACTTCTCTAAAAAGTACAGTGGATTGTACTTCCCCACATAAAGCCAATAGGAATTCAAGATGTTTAAGCAGCAGGGTGATCGCTGGAAGTCCTGTAAAGACTGCAGTATGTGTTCAGAGCACCTCCTGATAAAGTCACATGGAATGCATCCTACAGTATTAGATCCAGATTAGATTAGAAAGACAGACTTCTTTTCTCTGTCAAACTATTTAATGTGATGATGTGGAAAGTAAACATAATCAGAGAGGCAATTATTACTTTTTCAATAATATGCAAAGCACAAGAATGCATTCTGTGAAAATATTACATCTGGAATTATAAATGTTCATTTTGTCCAAATGTGGAACTTTACAATGTTGATATGTTCAAACTGTGAAGTCCATTTTGCACTGATCCCATTTTTTTCTTTTGTTTGAATGGGTTTATATTTTCTACACTGACGTCTGAGTATCATAGCAAATAGATCTAATAGCCTCATATATTTATATGCAGAATGATAAAAATACTTCCAGTATCTTGACTCTGCTTTTCTTTTTAATTAATTATATAATTAATTTCAAATGTTAATCAAACTTACTCTGTGCTCTAATTTGAATTGTTCTGAAATATTTTTATTTATTTTAGAGCTCTCTGCTTCTAGTAAATGCCCAGAAGGTTGGTTACCATACACAGATTACTGTTATGTGATCCATAGGGATCCCAAAGTGTGGAAAGAAGCCTTGACTTCCTGTAGAAAGGAGGGTGGTGATCTGGCCAGTATCCACAACATTGAAGAGCACAGCTTTATAGCTTCTCAACTTGGGTACAGTGAGTATTGCTACAGGGCAGTAATTTGTACACATGGATAATTTAAAAATTAGAAATAGCTTTTTAATGGCTTATATTTAATTTATATGGATATTTATAGGTAAGCACACACATACATATGCATAAACTATCCTGGATGATTTATACTAACTTACCATCACTGTTAACTTACAACATAACTTTTGAAGGAAAACACAGCACCAGTTACTGTAACACTGGGTAACTGTGTGGTTATAAAAGGAGCAGCAAATACCACTGATATGTAGACTAATTTGCTTACCAGGTAGCATTTCCTATCTCTTCTTGAATGAAGGAAGAACAATGAAATAGACATCAAAATGAACATCATTGCCAATGTATCTGTAATGGCTTCATAATGCAATGTAACAATTTCAGCTCATCTTCATAGCATCCTGCTCCTGCAGACTATTACAACGTAGATAAAAATGTAGCTGAATTTATGTTCTCAGAGCCAACTGATGAGCTGTGGATTGGTTTAAATGACCTCGGGATTCAAATGTATTTTGAATGGAGTGATAAGATGCCTGTGACATACACCAAGTGGCTCCAGGGAGAACCAACCTATGCAAACAGCAGACAAGAAGATTGTGTTGTTATGAAAGGACAGGTAAAATAGTGCAATTATGTTGATGAAATAACATCCTATATTTTCTGGTTTTTAAAGTTTTCAGTTAGATATTGAAAAACTGGATAACTTGTTTTAGGATAATACCATATGATAATATCTCTAGTTGCTCAATAAAGTTTATGGTTTAAATTTTAGATCAGTATTCAGATATGATGATTTACATCTCTAGCATATCCAGAAATCCTTATAACTCTGCGCCCAACTCTTCAGGTCAACTCAACTACTGCTGTAGTTTCTTTGTAATTCATGCTCCAAAATCATGGGGAAATAATAAGCACATTTCTTTTTACTTTTAAAGGAAATCTTTTTTTATAAAAAACATAAGCAGTTCTCTGAAGAATTTTAGTTCCTTTTAACTGATAATCTTTTCTCCAAACTGCCTTCAGGATGGATACTGGGCAGACAATGTTTGTGATAAGAAATGTGGATACCTTTGCAAAAAAAATCTATTGCAAGACACTCCTAGAACAGCGGAGCACATTGATCCTGGCTGCCAGAAAGTAAGGACAAAATAAATTCTGTTTAGATCCTTGAAGTAATTTGATATTTTTGACTTCCAAGTTGCTAGTTTGTTTGCTGATGATTTTCAAAATGAAAAAAATGTGGTCCTTCATTGAAATGAAATATTATTTGAATTCTCCCCTCCCTCCCCCCTGTATGTATTTATATATAGTGCTATGTTTTCTCTAGGTACAATGTCTGAATGAGACAGAAACTGGTATTGTAGTTTGGGGCATATATGATTCATGTTGGTGTAGATATATTTCAACTTGGGCTGTAGATTAATTACAGTTAATTCACACAATTAACTCAGAAATTAACCATGATTAAAAATAATCTCAATGGCAGTTTTAATCACACTGTTAAACAATAGAAATTTATTACGTATTTTGGATGTTTTTCTACATTTTCAAATATATTGATTTCAATCATAATACAGAATGCAAAGTGTACAGTGCTCACTTTATTTTTTTATTTCAAATCATTATTTGGATTATAGATTTAGTATGAATTACTTTTGTAACTTTATTATTGGGTGTCAAATTAATATATCATTTTATAAGGGTAGAGTTATACAATATTGCAGTCTGTTACTGATTCCTGGTCATTCCTGATTGATGTTGACAGGGCTGGAAAAGTCATGGTTTTTACTGTTACTTGATTGGACATGCATTTGTAACATTTTCAGAGGCAAAGAAAACCTGTGAAAGGAGCAAAGGCTATCTAACAACTGTTAAAGACAGGTATGAAAAAAAATTAAATTTAATCTTAAAACTTTTCAAAATATTTAAGAACTTTTCTAAAAGCTTGTAGTGTTAAAATAGATAAATCAATATTTTAAAATAGTTTGAATTAAAACAAAAAATATTCCATATTGTGAAAAATTACTCAGAAAATACTTCTTTTCAAACTAAATATTATATTTTGACATGTTCTCTTTTGACAGTTCTCTAGGCAGATAGAAAGTAAAACTATGCATATGTGAAACAAAAGTCAGAACTATATTTGGCAGAAAAAAAGTTTGTTTTAGAAATATCACATTTCTGTTCTACCAGCAATCACCGCATGCCATGGCTTTGTCTACTTTATAAGTGCTAGTGTAACCTACACACCTAGTATGGTTACTGAATAATTCAAGTGGTACCTAGACCGCAGCAACAGTTAAGACCAAGATACCTCTACAGCATGGGTTGGGAGCCAGCTGGCTTTTAGTTCAGAGGGTAGAGGCTCTTAAACTCTGCTTCAGAGGTCCCAGATTCAAATCCACCTGGTGGTGGTTACATTAGCAGTATATAAAAAGTGGTATAGCATAATTACTCCTACTACAAGCTATGTAGCTCAGAGAGGCATTTCCATGTAAAAACAAATGTTATTGAAACTAAATTTTGTAAGTGTATTACAATAGTTTGGGGTGCTAGGAAAAAGAGCAATAATAGGAGGATTTTTCAGATCCAAAACAAAAATCCAAATTCAAGTCTCTATAGCAAATCGAAGCCTAGGAGAGTGTCTGCTTTTAAGATATGGGACAACAGCTCAGGAAAAGAAAAAGCAGAAAGAGGACAGACAGAAAAAAGAATGAGCCCTTTAAGCAAATGAAGGACCTGCCGCAGGGAGACTGGTGATCCTATGTATGAAAGAGAGGGCTCAAAGGGCATAGTTTGAAAGGGTCTAGGTGAAAACCTGGAGCTGGGGATTGGGAGAACGGAGAAAAGAAAAGAGGGCTATACAATGGCTGCAGGGCATTGCAGACTGGAACACAGTTAATGCAGATAAAGAGAGAGTATGGTGCCTCACAGCAGAGAGGAAATATAACTATGCAGCACTTGATCAGCTTTTGAAATTCTAGTATTTTGAGGACATAACAAATTATGAGAAAATCAGGTTTGATCTCAGTTGGCCACTTCCTCTCTTGACAGGTATGAGCAAGCCTATCTGACTAGTCTGATTGGGCTGAGGCCTGAAAAATATTTCTGGATCGGTCTTTCAGATGTAGAGAAACAAGGGACTTTCAAGTGGAGCGACGGTGAAGCAGTTCTCTACACTCACTGGAGTCCAGCAATGCCAGGTATGCTTTGTCATAGGCACTTTGTGTGGTGTTGTCTATATGGTACAGTAATACACTCACAGGTTTGTAAATCCTAATGCACACTGCAACTTCCTGAGCAGTCCGTCTTGGCCAGTGTGCCCATTGTAATGGCCTCCTCTTGTTCTCCCCCTACAGGGCACTTACAGACTCCCCAGAATCTTTCTTACAAGTCTTACCTCCCATTTCCAAGCGCTGGTTTAATGCCCACAAACAGTTCAGGCCATTAGGTCTTATCACTGCAGACTGAAAAGTCACACTTATCTCTGGATCTTGCACCATCCACACAGAGATCTTGTTCTGCCAATACTTGCTGTTCACTGAGTCACTTCTCATAGCTGTCTCTCCCTGGAGTTCAGCCTTGTGGATCTGGCTTCTCTTGCCAGGCAGTCAATCTAACTGGCTGGAAGAGAAGAGAGCCTGTTCCATCCTACATTCCTGGGCTCCTTATTACTGAGCTCTTAAACGGACAGTATCCTATATTTCTCCCTACGAGGAACTCCTTATTGCCTGGGCTGCTTCCTCCCTTCCACTACCAGAACATTTCCTGAGACTATGTTCATTCCAAGTCCCTGGAACAGGGTCTTTTAGATCCCCTATACTCTTAAAGGACCAATACACCCTGTTACACACAGCAATACGAGGCACTCTAAGGCTGTGTCCAGACTCAGGGGTTTTTTCGGGAAAAGTAGCCTTTTTCCGAAAAAACTTCACCTGCGTCTAGACTGCAGCCGCGTTCTTTCGAAATTAAATTGAAAGAACGCGGCTTTTCTTTCGACGGCGGTAAACCTCATTTCACGAGGAAGAACGCCTTCTTTCGAAAGTGCTTCTTTCGAAAGAAGGCGTTCTTGAATGTAAATAGGGCTTCTTCGAAAGAGAGCATCCAGACTCACTGGGTGCTTTCTTTCGAAAAAGCGGCTTGCTCTTTCGAAAGTTCCGCGTGCAGTCTAGACGCTCTCTTTCGAAAGAGGCTCTTTCGAAAGAGGCTTGCAGTCTAGACATAGCCCTAGTGGGGTAATGTGTCTGATCTCTTGGGACTGATAGAAATCAATGGATAGTGAATAAGGATTTTAGTAACCCTTGAACATCCATACTTCAAAAGCACAAAAAAGTGATCTGCTTTTTCGAAAGACAGCATCCACACTCATTGTACGCTCTCTCGCATGTAAGTTGTAATTACTATAGGCGGAATGGCCACCAGTGCACCTGTGCCTTTTCCTTTTTCCTCTTTTTTCGAAAAAGCTCCCTCTTCTGCATCCACATGTACCTTTTTCTGACAGAGCTCTTATAGAACAGTCGTTCTTCCTCGTAGAATGACGTACATTTTTCTGACAGAGTTCTTTCAGAACAGTCGTTCTTCCTCGTAGAATGAGGTTTACCAATGTTGGAAAAAGCCCTGCATTCTTTAGATTTTCTTTCGAAAGAATGCAATTGCAGCATGGATGCAGGTGAAGTTTTTTTTGAAAAACAACCATTTTTCTGAAAAAAACCTTTAGTCTAGGTACACCCTAAGTGGCTCTTGTAGACCTTACTGGCATGTGCTGAATGGTTCTTAGCATGCGTCGGTGCAGTCCTGTTTCAAAGTTATCATGTTAATGTGTGCTAGCGAACTTTTAGTGCACGCCAGCCAGCAGGATCTACATGGTCTGGGTGAATCCATGTTTACAAGGCTGCCAGTGAAATTTCAGTCTTTAGCAGAGGTGATGAATAGAGTGGTTAACAATTCTCAAATCCATCTTCAGTGAGGGACTCATCAAGACTGAATATTGTAAATAAGGTCAAAGGTATTTGTAGCTCGTCTTTCACACACTTTATAAGTATAAAAAACCACATTGTATAGAAAATGAAAGGAGGGTGGATTGAATAGGGGGAAAAAGCACTGCAGAAAACTGCCTGAAAGAATGTTGGCTAGTTTGCAGGCAAGGGTTTTGTTTGTTTGCTGCCCTCAGGTGGTTTCTGTATCTGCTTTCCTTGTTCCTATCTGTTCATCCATTTTGTTCAGCTTACCTCTTACTTTATTACTGGATTAGATACCTTGCATTAAGAGTTTTTAAAATAATACATCAAATATGATAAACAGAACCATAGCAAAGTTTGACAAAACTGGCCACTTTATGGAGGTGCTCTACGGAATATCGTTCCAGATGGCTTTCAGATTCTGAGACCACAAACTGCCAAATAATGAATGTGAATGTCTCATAAGTATATGGGTATGTGAGCATTTCAGATGGTATTTGTAGGATCTTAATCATTCCAGCTACTTGCATTGTCACAGAAAAGATAAAGGCAGAGTGTCCTTTAGATACCAAAGGTTGCTCGTGCATTTGAGATTTAAAATTTTTGGAGAAGGAGTTAAGATACAGGACAGCTCCGATATCACCCTTTCAGTTTACTCACTTTGTAAAGTCTTAGAGGGATAGCCATGCTAGTCTGAATCTTCAAAAACACTTAGGAGTCCTGTGGCAACTTAAAGATGAACAGATTTATTATAAGCGTCTGTAGGTAAAAACCACTTTGTCAGATCCTTGCATCAGATGAAGTGTTTTTTACCCATAAAAGCTTATTCTCAAATAAATCTGTTAGTCTGGAAAGTGTCCCATCATGGGTGGCAGGTAATGTAGGCATAGTAAGGCATTGCCTTTCTAAAACTGCAGCAGCCCAGCTTCCTAAAGGCTAGAAAGTGCAGGGCCCGCAGTGCAGTAGCATGGCTCCCTGGTGGCCGGGGAGGGCTGGGCCCACGGCAGAGAAGCCC